CTTTTTACTTTTTCGAAATATTCATCATTTTCCTTTTATCGACGTTCCTTCGCTCACGCAGCTTAAGATAGCTAAAGTGATTGAATCTTCGATGGGGTAGATCCACTTAAGTAGTGGAAATAATTTTGATGCGTGCAAATTGCTCGTATTCGTAAACCTTTCGCAAGCAGACGAGCGACGTGCAATCGAGTCACGTCTAATAATGCGCTTTAAATAAAGGAAAGCTCGCTTAACGTCAAATACGCCTTAATTTTTTCGTTAACTATAACATTTTGCGTAATGATGATTATCTTCACAGATTGCGCATTCGATACACTTTGTAATCAATGTAGCCCTTGCCAATTCTGCTATAACGTTTTTAACAATTTGTTTTTCAAAATAAATTTCTATATAGATGCGCGTTTTGTTATTGTATTTAAAAATAATAATATATATATTTAAGATGTATGAACAGCAGTGAGGTTACGTAATAGATAATAATTCTTTTCTTTTTTATTTTTTAATTCTACGGTTCGTATTGTGAAACCTTGCATTATATGGATAAATTATTTTTTATTAAGGACAAACTACTTTATAAAAGTCTGAATTTTTTTTTACACGTAAGATATAGAGATTTAATGTTTTTGTTCTTTGTTTTTGTTTGTTTGATTAACATTTTGCTACCCTTTTTAAACGTAAAATTTTTGTCATAAAATTCCACGAAATTATATTAGAATTACAGAGGAAGGGAAATGAATAATCACACAATTAATTAAAGAAAGGCTTATAAACAGCTAATTTGCAATTAAAATTGCAAATAAAAATATATTTATCTTGTATGGAAACACCCGAGTATGGGAAGAAAAATATAAGACAATTATTTAAGATTCGTTAGCCATAAATCATCATGAAAGTGTATATTAATTAAATCAATTTTCGAAAAGTTTTTTAAAACCGTACAATGCCGCCACCCTTTGATTAACGTGCATTGTAATGCATGTTAAGTCGCCCATCTCACTCCCTCCCTCAAAATTAAAAACAATGTGTAGCATACGAAAGTAGGCAGTTACTTTGGAAACATGTTCGTACACAATAAGCCATCAGGCAAGGGGAGCGAAGCTAGCCGAGTTGAAACGTAAGCCCCGAAGCATCGAGAGCCCCGACTCTTACGACGAAAGGATAAAAGAGCTCGTGGCTGTAGCTCCTCGGTCCCATGGGAATAGCGATCGATCTTAATTCACGGAGACAGGAGTCCGAAGCGTAGGAAGCGCGAACCAAACCGGGGTTTGGTGCGAGGTCGGCGTCGGCTGTTGCTCGTTGAAGGCGACGGCTAATCAATAAAACGAGCGAACGCGAGCCCCAGCTGTGAGCCGAACGTCTTTCCTCGAAAGGAGATGGAGCTATTCGAGGCATGGAGCCTCTTCCGGCGGAAGCATTACGAGGAGTGCGCAGCCGCCTGCACTGAGCTCCTCCGCAAGAGTCCCCTCGATCAGGTTGGCCCGACTGCGCCGCTACTGGCCATTTCCTCCATTTCCTGGCCTCGGCTGGTAAAGCAAACCACCGCTCCCTCTCACCTCCTGGCTTACTTTCGCAGGCGATCTGGGTGCTGAAGATGCGGGCGCTCACTCTTCAGGTCTACGTGGACGACATCGAAGGCGAGGAGGAGGGTATCGCCGAGACGCTCTTCGATAACGATACGATATGCGCACT